ATCAGTAGACCTCCCGGATCATGGTGGAGGAGCAACTTTGCAGCTGCTCCTATTTCACATGCGCATGTCGCTATTGAAAGTCCCAAGACTTTCAAACAAGCAACCCACGGTCCTAGAGCCCCCCCCCCCCCCCCCCCTCACGCGTCCCAACCCCCTCGCATCGCAGACGTCCGAGCCCGTGGTGCAGACGATCACGAAGCCCATCGGCGGCGAGAAGAACGGGGGCACGCGCGAGGTGATCAAGAAGACGGGGCCGAAATGGTACCCTGCGGACGACGTGCGGGCGCCCGTGCCGTCTCGCAAGCACGTGCACAAGCCGACGAAGCTGCGGGCCGGGATCACGCCCGGCACGATCCTGATTCTGTTGGCCGGGGCCAACCGGGGCTCGCGCGTGGTATTCCTCAAGCAGCTCTCTTCCGGGCTCCTGCTCGTGACCGGGCCGTACTCGGTGAACCGCATCCCGATCAAGAGAGTCGAACAGGCGTACGTGATCGCGACCAGCACGAAGATTGAAGTGTCGGGGTGCGACGTGGCCAAGTTTGATGATGAGTACTTTAAGAGGGATAAGGGGAGTAAGGCGAGCGTGGTTATGGAGGTTGATGAAGGAGATGCGAGTAAGAAGACGCCGACTCAGGAGAAGATCGCTGACCAGAAGGCCATCGACGCTGTGCTTGTCCCCGCTATTGAAAAGGTGCCGCAGCTGTCGAGCTACCTCAAGGTCAAGTTCACCCTGTCAAAGGGTCAGTATCCTCACGAAATGAAGTTTTAGGCGCGGGATTCATTTTGTAAACATCAAACCCAATCACCTGGTATGCGCGCGGCGCAGACGCGACTCTGATTCTAGAGAGCAAGTGTCGGCTGAGCAAACAATGCGCCAGCTATTCCCTACGACGAATTGTTCACAGTTGAACGTTTCTTTTTTGAGACAATGGGGAAACCATGGCACATTTGGGATTTTTCCTAATTCCATTTAGGAGGTTGACATCACAGATAAATGTCCATTTTACTCTCCAAAGAGATTTAAATCATTTCACGTTACACACGCGAGTGCATCAAGGCAAGGCAAGTTGGTTGCGCGATCAAGAGTGGTCAGAACATACCGTAGTGTAGTTTAGTGCGTGCACGGGATTGGACGGAAAGTGATCCTACTCTGTGACCAAGCAGCGTTCGTGAAAGTGCTGCGTCTGCACGAGGCAGACCCATGCAGGCAGCGCTCGTCGTCAGCCGCACGGTGATGGGAGTGGTAGCAGCGACTAGGGCAACACGGACGGAGGGGTGGGCAGGGGTGTAATTGTTTGGTGCAGGGGGGCCATTTTATGTTATGTACGCGGCTTCTCCTTCTTGTTGCGGAAGAGGGCGAGCAGCGAGACGCCAGCGACCTTGACGACCTTGAAGCGGACGCCGGGGAGGTCACCGACGGAGTGGCCGCTGCGGCCGAAGCCGGAGATGAGCACCTCGTCGTTCTCCTCGACAAAGTTGAGGCAGCCGTCGCCGGGGACGAAGGCGGCGATCTTCTTGCCGTTCTTGATGAGCTGCACGCGGCACGACTTACGGATGGCCGAGTTGGGCTGCTTGGCCTCGATGCCGATGCGCTCCAGCACAATGCCCTTCGCGTGCGACGCGCCCCCGAACGGGTTGGCCTTCAGCGCCGTCGCAGAGTGCTTGCGCGAGTACCGCTTGTTGTGCCACTTCTGCGCACGCCGGTGCGTCCGCAGCTTGCGCGCGCACCGCATGCCCGCGGGCTTGCCGTTACCCATCGCGCGGAAGGAAGGGGGGGGAAGGAAGGGGGGGGGGGGGGGGGAAGGGGTTTTCCTGTGTCGGGCCCGCTACTCTCCCCGGGGGGTGCCT